CCCCAAAACCCCAAAACCCCAAAACCCCAAAACCCCAAAACCCCATACGATACAATATCGAATTAATCATGGATTCATGGATATATGAAATACACGTATCTTACTTAATGCATCTAATGGAAATAACTAAATGGTATTATACTATTTCAATATGAATAGTTGGCAACGTATTGGCTTGCAGAATCTCCAGCGGCTCCACCAGCATATGAACCTAAAGTAGCCTCTGAGTTGGCTCTAGCTCTGGTGAGGAGAGCTTCTTGAGCAGCTTTAACATTCTCTGGTTTACCTGACCATGCCTTTAATGTTGATGACTATAGAGCACGTCCATATGAGAATGAGAGAGCCCATGGTCTAATCTTAGAATCTAGTTTATTCATCTCATTTAAGTTAAGGGTAGCCTCTTCCTCTGATTGACCTCCAGAAAGGAAAGTGATACCTGGGATTGCTGGAACGATAGTTCTTGATAGAGTTCTAACGGTGTACCAAGCGATCTCGGCAGCTGATTTCTTATCGGTTGAGGTGGCACCTTGGGTGACCATGTTTGGCTTGAGGAGGAGACCCTCAAGAAGGAGTTTTTGCTCTTGAAGAGCTTAGACACATTGTCTGAAAACTCTCTCGGAAACTTCAGCGCATACCTCGATAGAGTGATCACCATCAGTCAGGATCTCTGGTTCAACGATGGGGACGAGTCCATTAGCTTAGCAAATGGCAGCATATCTAGCAAGAGTGTGTGCGGTTTCAATGATAGCAGCTAATGAGGGTCTTCCGTTACCGATCTTAACAACAGCTCTCCACTTGGCGAATCTGGCACCTTGAGAATAGTACTTTTGGCATCTCTCGGCTAGACCATCTAATCCAGTTGTGGCATTTTCCTCGTTGGTTCCTGGAATAATGACAAGTCCCTTATCGACCTTAATGCCTGGAATGATTCCCTTTGACTGCAATAGCTCTGGGAAGAGGACACCGTCAGTGGTCTTTTGTCCAAGAGTTTCCTCGAAGAGGATGACTCCTGAGATGTGCTTTTCGAGACCCTCAGTTGTGAAGAGAAGTTCTCTGTAAGCTCTTCTATTCTCCTCGGTGTTCTCAACATCGATCTTGGCGAATCTTTGACCAATGGTTCCAGTTGATTCATCAGCAGCAAGGATACCATATCCTGGTCTAACAATAGCTCTTGCATTAGCAATAAGTTCGTCTCTAAAGTTCTTGGCTTCAACCATCTTCTTGTTTGGAAATATCTAAAGAATAAATTATAAATGGAATAATAGAGATATCTTATTAATGAATGTCAATTAAATTATGACCTCAGCTTTACTAATGAGGATTCCAATTATCGCAAATATATTTAATTTATCGACCATAAAAGTAGCATTCATTTTAACCAGACGGGGTTTTGGGGTTTTGGGGTTTTGGGGTTTTGGGGTTTTGGGGTTTTGGGG